CTGCGCCAAGAGACCAGGAGGTACCAAACCTAGAGCACCGAGAACAATGGGGAGCCTGACGACAGTGTACTTGGGATGCAAGCGAGACATTTCAAAGGCGAGGTCCGCATACTTAGTATGCTTTTCCTGAATCTTGCCAATCACATTGGTGTCAAAGGGACAGAAAATTCAATGATATATATAAATTCATTGGCTTTATCAAAAAGGACAAGATCAGGTTTGTTGGCTGGAATTCTCCTCAGGCTGTATATGGGCCTATTCCACAGAAGTTTGAAAGCATCATTTTCCATGACGCCCTGGACATGGACAGGGTCGTACCATGGATGGACCTCGGAGTCAAAGCCACAGGCATGTCGGAGACGGTAGTAAAAGCAACGAGCCATGCCATCATGTCGTTTAAGATATGATGTTTGTGCCAAGGAAGGGCATCCACTGACAAGGTGTTGGACAGTCTCTGTGAATTCATTGCAAAGTCGATATTTCATGTTGATATTTTCTTTAAGAATCACATTTAGGCGATTACGAGTGGGAAGTGACTGGTCCTGAGCAGCATAAAGGAAGCCCCCAGTTTCACATTTAAGACCAGCCGACTTCATCCAGGCGAAGGAGTCGGTGGGATTGCTATTCTGTTCAACACACTGCATGTACACACGATGCAATGGCTTCTCAGAAAACCTTTCCACAAAAGACCGACTCTGGGCAGACTTGGTGAAGGACTTCACCTGGTTTACTCCCATCGCTGTACCGTCCAGCAGTACACTACCATCAGCAAAGTCAACCTCAAATTTCTCATTCTGTCCAACAACCTTGGCACACTTAAAATAGCTGTGGAATTCCTTGCTTTCATCATGAGTCTTGACATGCGTCACCAGAGGATCATCCGATAAATAAATATGTGCAAAAGTACACAATAAAATTCTGTCATGAAGAGCCTCCACATTAATCAAACCCCGACCACCAGAATTGATTGGCATATATAAACGGTTAAGAGAGGAACGAGGGTGGTGGGCTCTGTTATCAGACATGATCCTCCTGGTCAGGCGGTCAAGACACTGGATGTCTTGTTTCGTCCAGTCAACTACTCCAAAGGAATAGGAGAGGACAGGCACAGAAAAAGTATTGGTGGCTTTGTGTTCTACAGATTAAAGATAATATGCAGCAGAGAGGGTTCGGGTGATCCTGGCACAGTCAGGCTGGTAAGGCTCATCATCAGCTCAGGGCCCTTGCCCCGTCTACACGCAAGCCCAGACAGTGAATGGGACTTCTCCCAGGAAACGCTGCTTAGTCGAACCCACCAAGAACTTTCCGGAGAATATGAAGACTCCCAAACACTGCAGCCTTCTGCATTACCCAGAGTGTCAGAAGGGCTGTGCTCCCGGTGGAGAACCCAGGCACTCTCCTGATCTGCGCCAAGAGATCAGGAGGTACCAAACCTAGGGCACCGAGAACAATGGGGAGCCTGACGACAGTGTACTCGGGATGCAAGCGAGACATTTCAAAGGCGAGGTTTGCATACTTAGTATGCTTTTCCTGAATATTGCGAATCACATTGCTGTCACATATTATTATTATTATATTGAATGTGGAATTTTAACCAAGTATTTTATGAGGTAAATATTTTTACTGTAATTTTCTGTTTCACTGTTTATTGCAGGTAGCATTTTTTTTGTATTTTAATTGGATGCAGAAGTTTAGTGCTACTTTAGTGTAGTTTAAAGCTGAAATGCGAGTCTATTAACAGGAGTGCGGAATGCAAGTATTGTAACCTTGGTTGAAGTTTCACGTGTTTACGTAAGATTTCTAAATATGAAAAAACTCCCATACACAACCGCGGAACATCTCATTTTCAACGTTAATAATATACTGAGTCAAAAAAAGAAACTTCACAAAATGTAATTTGAAAAATAATGAATAATTTTTCTCTGATGATACATCTATGTATCTGAAATGGGATCCCTATCTTTCGACTCTAGAAAAACGTTAGCAAAACCCACTCAAACCCATCCATTCGTCCTGCAAATGACGTTAGTGCCAAATCAGGTTTTGCACGTGCAGTCGATCACGTGATCTTCGCATCGAAGTTTTCTTCATATGCACGTGTTTGCATTGGCCTCAAGAATTGAAAAAAACACTTTTAAACCACAGATCTAACGGTACTTGAAATGCCACGATTGTCAAATGTGCAACGTGAACGTGCCGTTGGCATGTTGCAAGCAGGAAGATCTGTTATTGACGTCGCAAGAGCAATGGGATGCAGCCGTCGTACTGTGTATGACTTGCGAGGTCGTCTACAACAAACTGGCACCACTTCTGATCGCCCAAGGTCGGGTCGTCCACGTGTGACGTCACGAGCAGGAGACCGTCAAATCGTCCTACGTCACCTACGTGACAGATTTCTGCCGGCTACACGAACCAGGGCTGAGATGTTTAGAGGTCGACTGTCCTCACAAACCATTCGAAATCGGTTGCGGGCTGCCAATCTCTATTCTCGACGTCCAATTCGTGGGACAATATTGACGCCGTTTCATCAACGTCAACGTCTGCTGTGGGCCCAACGTCACCTCCGATGGACCCAGAGAGACTGGAATCGAGTCGGTTTTAGAGATGAATCCAGGTTTACCCTCAGATTCGCGGACGGCAGGCATAGAGTCTGGAGACGACGTCGTGAACGGTATGCCCAATGTTGTGTACAGGAAGTCGACAGATTCGGGGGGCAGAAGTTGCATGGTGTGGGGGTGCTTTCTGTGGGAACAACCGTTCCCGACTTCTGGTCATCCGTTGAAACCTCACAGCTGCTGCTTACCACGACCAGGTGCTCACCCCTGAACTCGTTCCTTTCATGGCGGCTCATGGCCCAGGTCTACAGTTCCAGCATGATAATGCTCGGCCGCATACCGCGATGTTGACATGAAATTTCCTTCAAAACGCTGGAATCAACGTCATGGACTGGCCATCGAGGTCCCCTGACCCAAATCCAATAGAGCACGTTTGGGATGCACTTGGGAGAAGGCTTCGTGGTCTTAGGAACCAACCTCAGAATTTGCAGGAACTTGGCGCTGCCTTGCAAGAGCAATGGCGCAGAATCCCCAACCACGTGTTCACAAGCATCAGGCAGTCGATGAGGAGACGGTGTTTGGCAGTGGTGAATGCGCGGGGTGGCCATACACGATATTGAACTGAGAAATTTCGCATTTTTATTCTTGTGACTTGACATTCTGTATACCCATGTTTTGGAACGGCGGTGTAGCCTAATGGAACTGATTATGGCACTGTCAATGTATCGAGTACATCACGCAGATCTCAGCAATGAAATAATACCAATTTAACCATCTTACCATCTCTTGTTCTTTTATAGTGCCCTGAAGAAAGAATGTGAAGTTCCTTTTTTGTCTCAGTATATGTCTAAGTTCAACGTTGATTCCTTGTCGGATATCTACGTCTAACAAACTTTCTAATACAACCTTTTTCCAACGTTGATAATAGGTCAAACTTCAACGTTGAATCCACGTTTGATATCTACGTGTCAAAAACTTTCATATAATGTACAACCTATTTTCAACCTAATCTCAACGTTGAGGTCAACATATTCTCAACGTTGATGTGCCCACTGGGAGCGGCGTCTGCCAATCACACTGAAGGACCGGGTTCGATCCCCGGTGGAGGCACATATGTTCGGGTCCCGAGGTAGGCACATTTGCGTAGTATCCTTTGACAAGATACTTGGATCCATATTGTCTCAGTTCACCCAGCTGTGAAATGGGTACCCGTGATGATGTGCTGGCAATGTGGGTGTTTAGGTCATTGCGCCTAACAGGCAGCGTGGCTGTATGATCCCCAGGGAGTTGAAATAGTATCGGATAGTATGATGTTGTCATATGACCTGGGATAGTAATGTACGTAGTGCCGTGAGAAGGCAATGTGCCTGGATATGAGCGCCATATAAGCGAACTATTTGCTGGGTTTGCTATCCGAAATCATAGTTAAATCTCTCTTTCACTGAAAGTATAATAGGTCAATACTAATTGTGTATCCATGGATTTTCAAAGCCCTGGCTGCCACACGTTGTTCGCTTTTCCCCGAGTATAACAGGCAGAAGATTCGTTTAAAGTTGTGTAACATCTGTATCGATCTAGAACATTAACGATTGACTGTGTCCTTTTATGATTTCTTTGAGGTATGAATTGAAAAAGCGATGTACAACTGTCAGAATCCGCAATGCAGGTCGGATGGCCTCCCGGATAGATGGCTACGAGGATTGAATGGCTTCGTGGATTGGATGGCTAAAGGGGATGGTTACGCGGATTGGATGGCTTCGTGGATTGGATTGCTCTGAGGGCTGGCTTCGCAGATAGGATGGCTTTGTGGATTGGATGGCTTCGTGGATAGGATGGTTACGAGGATGTGATGGCTTCGCGGACAGGATGGCTTCGTTGATTGGATGGCATATATCAATTTATTATCAACAGCTACATGTTGCTAATATCTGCGGTAGGTCACACTACATGCACGTGACATGTCCTATGTACCATGTACTACATGCACTCTATATGGACGTCAGTGATACTCGATGTCGTTCCTATTACAACAGTTATTAAAAACAGATGACAAGTACATGAATAAATTTCTTAAATGTTTGCATTAAAGTTAATTTTTTTGTGAGAATGACAAACATTGCTTACGACTGAAGTCACCTTATACTACGACACTCACAACCTTTTGCTACCTCGTTCCCACCTTACATTACCGTACAGTAAAATATAACATATTTTCAGGCTGTAGCCATGACGATGATTTTCACACAAAACCCAACAGCATTCTATTTGCAGAGTGAGATTAGTTTTAATCTACTATTCCAGGGGGGACAGCTGGCATGGGTCGACTATAATTGGCTTCACGCTTCGTAGTCATGTTAAAAGGCGAGCGTGGGTCTTCAATGTGAAGACGCCAACGACTGTATCACTGCGCAGAATCACCGACCACAGAACGCATTTTAGTCGTTAAAGAACTATTTTATTCCGCGGCAACATACAGGGTTCAGACTTTTCAGAGAAGTGTCAATGGAAAGGAAAACGTTGACTGCAGACGTTAGTTATTCATGAGACAAGACAAAAGTGACACATCTTCGTCTGGAAATGCATCCTGGAAGAGAAACAAGACAATCAAAGCATCCGCCATGGTCACGTGACATATAATGTTAAATATTCAAAACATTACTGAAAAGATTTCATCGTGGGGTAAGTTTAAAAAAACATTAGACATGAATAAAATGTGAATTATATTCTCACTAAAGATGTACCGGATATTCTAGAAATGCAAATGATCAGAGAAATACAAGAGGTATCGAGTGATAGAAAAAGGGAAGGACGAAGAGTAAAATAACAAAGAACAGTGTTACGGTTAATAAAGTGCCGTGACAACAGGTATAAGGATCCCCATTGAACCGGCAAAATATAACACAGACAAGTCAAAAATATTCAATAATATATTGAGCAAACAATGAGCAAGATAAGATACAATGAATCACAATACAGATTTCTAGTACAATGCATAAGAGTCACAAATTTAAAGTTTTGAGTCACAAATATATAATATCAACTCACCACGAGCCTTGGTAATTACAGTGAGATCAGATATTCTAAATGAAGCTTGTTTACAAATGAGAGCAGTCAGGCACGAAGTCTCAGGGTCAGACTATGTTGACGAAGGCAAAGAACGATGGTAGGCAACTCCAGTGACATGAAAAGTCCAGTGTAATTCCGTGTGTCAGTCCCCGTGTGTCTCAACACAACAACCAGCCTTTATACATACTGGCACAGAGTCTAGAACGTTCTTTATCCACTGAGAACTTTATGGAAATCTGTGGAACGTACGGCCGGTCAAAACATGAAATAAAGCCAAGGGAGGCAACTCTGGAGCGCTATCATAAAGGCGTACCGCTAAAAATAGTATTGCCGTTAACCATATATGATGCGAGATGTGACCCACACCAACACTAAAAACTTTAAACATTGTGACCCATAATCACCATCACCTAACCAATGATTTACAAATCACAAAAACACACTCTCGTGAAAACAGAACATGTCCAATGTATTGCAAATAACAACTGCGAGGTTTGGGTGTGTAGTCAAACCAATGAACTAATAAATGACTTCATCAATAATGGGGCATGCCCCACGATTAGTCAAAGATATATTTATGTACGTCCTATTATGGTCCGATTCAAGCTCACAATGAATATCGTAGTATTGTCTAGACCTTTCGTCTGGCGTTGCGGGAAGACGCAAGATGATGTCCCAGTGGGCAGGAGTGTTCTTTGTGACAAAACGTAGTGGATCAGCATAGCGAGAATAGTGCACAACTATTGACACACGTAGGCTGTCTGGGTTGTACACTGACTTTTCCACACACAGTACGTATTGGCGTTCTGGTGGTGATGTTATACAGTCTAAAATCAAACTTACCCTACAACATGTCAAGCTGCCTTACACTGACGTTCAACCGCCTCCGTGGTGTAGTGGTTAGAGCGTCCGCCCGGAGAGCGGAAGGTCGCGGGTTCGATCCCCGACCGCGTCATACGAAAAGACGTTAAAATATGGTACCTGGCGCTCGGCATTAATGGGTACAACAAGGACTGGTCGGCTCGGATGGTATCTCAGTGGGCTAGCACTATAAAACCAGCTTAAGTCTGGGCTAGTACAAGCAGCCACACATACACATACACACGCATGCACGTCGTCATATGAGGGAAATATTCTCAAGCACGACGTTAAACCCAATTTCACCTCACCTCACCCTATTTTTATGATCTTATGGACATTATGTATCCATAACCCTCTGTCTAATTTAGTCTAAAGTAAACAATTTCTGTGTGTGTGTGTGTGTGTGTGTTAATAAAGATGTCATGAAAAGTGACTTGTTTTATGTGCTGTCTCCAGGTATTCTCTAGCACGACGTTAAAACCCAATTTCACCTCACCTCACTTACACTGACGTTCAAAAGAGTTCATAAATTCTTGAAGGAATCTGGACTTAGGACATTACACGACACCATCGTGTTCCTACTCTCTAAAGACCATAACACAATACAGATAAGCCGTATGCAGAAGGTTTCTGATCGTCTTGTCAGAAACGTGAACTCAGGGGGAACCAACCCACGTGAAAAGCGAGGTGAGGTGAGTTGAAATGGGGTTTAACGTCGTACTTAAAAATATTTCGCTCATATGACGACGTGCATGCGTGTGTATGTGTGGCTGCTTGTACTAGTGGTTAGAGCGTCCGCCCGGAGAGCGGAAGGTCGCGGGATCGATCCCCGACCGCGTCATACCAAAAAGACGTTAAAATATGGTACTTGTTGGTCCCTGCCTGGCGCTCGGCATTAATGGGTACAACAAGGACTGGTCGGCTCGGAGTCAGTATAATGTGTCTGAATGGGGTATTCATGCTTCACTGCGGCATGGTATCTCAGTGGGCCAGCACTATAAAACCAGCTAAGTCTGGGCTAGTACAAGCAGCCACACATACACATACACATGCATGCACGTCGTCATATGAGCGAAATATTCTCAAGCACGACGTAAAAATCCAATTTCACCTCACCTCACCTAAATGTAGATCTATTACACATGACAAATACTGTATTCAATGATACAAACATTGGGGTATTTTATAAATAAACACGATAGTCTCAACTTCAACTCAGGTTCATTTCAGGTCCAAGACAATGCACCCCTGACAGCAGTTTGAGTGAGTAAGTTTAGTTTTACATCGCACTTAGCAGTATTCCAGCTATATGGTGGCGGTCTGTAAATAATCGAGTCTGGACCAGACAATCCAGTGATCAACAACATGAACATAGATTTGCGCAACTGGGATACGATGACATGTGTCGACACAGTCAGCGAGGCTGACCACCCGATCCCGTTAGTCGTACAGCAGTTTGAAGTCTCATGAAGATGAAGAACATATCTCTGTTTGCTTATCGTTCTGTGATACCCAACATATTACCTATTATGATTCCGTAAATTTAATTAATTAATTAATCTATTTTTGACCCTTGAAGATCCAGGTAAGAATTCATCTTCAGCAACCAATGATGTGACTGTCTTAAGAGGCGACTAACTGGATCGGGTGGTCAGGCTTGCTGACTTGGTTGACACATGTCATCGTATCCCAATATTGTATAGATCAATGCTCATGCTGCTGATCACTGGATTGTCTGGTCCAGACTCGAGTATTTACGGACTGCTGCCATGTAGCTGGAATACTGTGGAGTATAGCATCGAAAAATCGTTTCTTGTGTGTTTCCTTTGTCAGCCACCATCAAACATCAGGGGATATTTCCTTGGCTCGGCTATTTACTATTCCTGGCTTCGCGGTGTTTGACTCTCAGGTTTGGACAGACAAACTAGGAAAAATGTCTGAGCTTTCACCCAGAAAGCAGAAGGAATAAGGATGTCGTAAAAATGTTTGAGAAAAACACCCAAAACAATCGGCGTAGAGAAACATGTTTTCCTCGTATCAACCAATCAGTCATTCCGTCTCTTGCAAAATTCCCTGACTATTCAATATCACAAATTGCCAGGTGACCATGTCGGTGTACTAATTAGACATAAGAGTATTGACCATTCAAGCAAAGACCTCTGGGGCTTTTAAAAAGGTCGACGTTCGATTGGCATGTGTTGCTGGTTCGGGAGTAAACAATGCCGTGCAAATACTCGCACATATTTACTATTAATGTGGCTTCTGTTTATGGGTTATTCAGCAGGAGCTGTTTGTTTGTTGTTTGTGAAGGTAATAAAATTGTTAGTTGTCGACTGGGGCGTTTGTTTGTGAGGATTCAGCTTCGATTCAGCTGAATCACCTTTGTTAATTTTTTCTGTTTCTCTTGACAAAGCAGGGTTTTGTCTAAAGGTCGACAGGAACACACAACAGACGGGTATTGGAAACGTACTTTCTCAACCTATTGGAAATCTAATTTGGTTGAATGAGCGTTGTTCGTTTGTATGTTGTTTAACACCGCTTTGAGAAGGTTGTGAACCGATTTAGCCTTGAGGCGACTTCCAATTTCTAACGAACCTGCACATCGACATGTTACATGGTTCTAGGGCAAGAAAATCAATCTTTTAAAGAATATATCAATTTTTAGAGAAAGCGATTGTTTTGGGATGAACAGTATTGAACTAGTATCTTGACGCCCCAAAATGGCTGAAGTTCCATAATGCTGACAGATAAAATAATATATGCAATAGTAATAATTAATTTATCAAGCGCCTAATATCCACCATTGAGATGCTCAGTGGCGCTATGACAATATTGCCCAATCCTTTTCTTGAATTAATAAAGCGTGTTTCAATCAAATGAGAATATTGGGGAAGGAAATAGTTCATATGGGTTTAACAGAAAGGCAGTAGTGAACAGATTGGTTTTTAGCAGATATTTAAAAGTTTCTTTCGATGAAGTGTTCCTGATTTCCTTTGGAAGAGTTCCACAGTTGAGGGCTGGTAAAGGAGAAGGCTCGGTCAGACAGTTGGTTTGGAGATCTGTGTTGGATGAGGAGAGAGTCAGAGGAGGATCGGGGACTTCGCTGGGGTATAGTACAATATACACGGAGACGAGTTGTTTGAGATAGTTGGGAATATTACCGTTATAATTGCAGTCATGAGTCAGAATGAGGGTTTTGAGGGACATTCTTGCAGTGATTCTTTTGTGCACCCTCCTCCTCCTCCGAAAAAATTCCCTGAGGAGCATTTCCCCCTAACCTTTGGACTACATGATTGCTGTGCACCCCCTTCTTCAAAAACCTGGATACGCCCCTGAGCTGGACTACTGCTCATTGTGACGTTAAACAACAAACAGAACAAACGTTCACCAAAGCAACGTCTGAGCCAGATTAAACAATGAAAATGATAGTATGTTATGATCAGTTTTAAGACAAAGGAAGCGGTAAAAAAACATCAACAACAAATGCAAGAAGAAATGCAGGGGGAAGCTGCTTGGCCTCCCTCATACGCTCAAGAGCAACTTTAATGAGTGACTTTTGACTGGAATTGTAGTCACTGTGATTAATAAATTAATAAAGAAACGAACACAAACAACAAAACTAACAAACACGTACACAAACAAAATTAAATAGAGGTACTGACTGACTGACTGAGTTTGGTTTTACGCTGCTTTTAGCAATATTCCAGCAACATCACGGCGGGGACACCAGAAATGGGCTTCACACATTGTACCCATGTGGGGATTCGAACCCGGGTCTTCGGCGTGACGAGCCAACGCTTTAACCACTAGGCTATCCCACCGCCCCTAAATAGAGGTAAACCAGACTGGCATGCTGCACGCTACAAAGGAATCGAGATACAACAATGTGATCTGGGCACCGTTGTACAATGCGACCTTAGAGCTGAAATGATCATTCCTCTCATCTCTTAACATAACCTTACACTATAATATGTACGGCAGTCTTAACGCTAAGAACGTTTTGTATAACGGCACCCTACCATTTTGACAGGGCCTGATTCGCGTACCTGTTGACACATCAGAGGTGACCTGAAGGTGGTGTGTGATCTGAACTTGGTGAGGTGGTCTTCTATGTTGTTTCTCAACCTCCTCATCCTCTCGCCGTACCGCTCATACACCAAGTCCGCCACTACCCAGGCCCAGTGGAAGGGGATGGTAGCGTCTGTAAAGTAAAGGTGACGTGGTCTGGGTAATTTGTTTGTTTGTTTGTTTTTAATGCCGCACTCTGCAATATTCCGGCTATGCAGTGGTGGTCTGTAAATAATCGAGTGAGTGAGTGAGTTTAGTTTTACGTCGCACTCAGCAATATTCCAGCTATATGACAGCGGTCTGTATATAATCGAGTCTGGACCAGACAATCCAGTGATCGACAGCATGAGCATCGATCTGCGCAATTGGGAACCGATGCAAGTCAAAACATTGATTACACAACTGTCTCGTTTCCTGCTGACTGGGTTCCGTCCTATTGCGCAACGTATTACAAGAACCAGTCCAGAAATGTGAGACCAACTCATTTAACTGGCTATATAGATATTAATCAGTATTATTTGATACATCTAATCACTTGTATATTGCAACACTACGCTCCTTATAATCCTTGCAAACACGTCGTGCAGCATGCTCTGCCGTACAACGTGCTCTGACAAACGGAAATCTTGAAATCGTGGAAATCTTAAAACGAGGCTCGGCCGCTAGAAAAGTTTGGCGGTCTTTTACGGCTTTGATATTATATCAACCATAATGTACTTTAAGAAAATACGCTTAATATGCGCAAAAAATACATAACAGGTGTAACCAATGAGCCAGATGAATTCTGAATCATTGTACGACTTCTTCTAACAGGGGCAGTCTGCGACGTCTTAGTTGACGACATGCTGCCTAAACTTCGACATAAAATATAGAATTACGATTTTATTAAACTTTAAAATTAAGATTAATTTGTAAATACCATTTTCTCATTAAGCAAGGAATTCGAATTCAGTGTAACCATAGTTGTTTGTAGTGTCTCTTTTCACTTTCACACGAGAAAATTCGGATCGGCTGAAAAGTAGGTCTTTGTCTGAATTAGTTAATGAGACTTATATTTCGGTATGACATGTGACATCCAAGCCAGCGAGCCTGACCACCCGATCCTGTTAGTCGCCTCTTACGACAAGCATGGGTTACTTAAGATTCATTCTAACCCGGACGTTCACGGGTCGTAAATAATCGAGTCTGGACGAGACAATCCAGTTTTCAACATCATGAGCATCGATTTACGCAGTTTGGATAAGATTGCCAACCAGGTCAGAGAGTCTGACCACCCGATCCCATTAGTTGCCTCTTACGACATGCATAGGTCGCTGTAGAACAATTCTAACCTGGATCTTCACGGGCTCGAATTTGTGGTTTGGTTGAACGAGGTGGGAAAGGAGACATTTCAGATGTCAACTGACTTGACATGTCACCGTACCCCGACCAGGACCGCTGCTCATAATATTAACCACTGGTTTGTCTGATCGTGACTGGAATATTTACATAGTGTCGTCGATTAGGAATATTGCAGAATGCACTGTTAAACAACAAAGAAAACGAATTGTCACATGACATATGTTCTGGCATACTTTGCCATGCTCATGGTTCGATAAATCGAAGAAGATTTTGTTGGGATGCTACGAGCTAATTTCTGTTTAATTAAACATTGTGATCATAGGTGAAAAGTAAATCCAAACATGCCACGTTCAGCCGACCATGCTTAGGTAGACAGAATGATTGTCAGACGTTCAACAATGGTACAATTGTCTGTGCACTGAGACTATCGATAGTGACACTAGTGTAGGGTAGTACAGACTATTGACGTTTCACCAGAGACCCGTTCCACAGAGCGAGCTTTGCTACGATTGTCGTAAGCCAATGGTTAAAGGCTGGGAGTTACGATGGTGGAATGGGGTTGAGGTCAGCGATATGTGGAAGCTATACCATGGGAAATTACTCAAGAGTACGATCATGGTGTTGGCATACCACTAGTAATCATAAGGGCGACTTTGGGATTGGAACACATGGTCATACGATCCTGGACATGGATAAGGGACGCAACTCTACATAGATAACGGCCTCTGGTGGAAGCAATATACTTTGAAAGGTCATACATTATGCCAAACTGTGAGGTCTTATATTATACCTAGCCGTGAGGTCTTACATTAACCAGGCAGTGAGGTCTTACATTAACCTAGCTGTAAGGTCTTTAATTATACCTAGCTGAGCTGTGAGGTCGTACATTAACCTAGCTGTGAGGTCTTACATTATACCTAGCCGTGAGGCCTTACATTTTACCTGGCTGTGAGGTCTTATTATACCTAGCCGTGAGACCTTAAATTTTACCTGGCTGTGAGGTCTCATATTATATATAGTCTTACATTATACCTAGCTGCCAGGTCATATATCATACATAGCTGTGATAACGGCGTCTCAGCGCTGTCTCAATGGACGATTTAGATTCTGAATGGACAAAGAAACTGTCTGTCCCATAACGGTTTCCTAGTACATTCCAGATCCGGATACCCCACACTAACAACCCTGTCTAAATTAAATTAATCGTAAATCCACAAACACTGAAACCCAGTTCGCTTTCTAAAAACATTTGCCTTCGAATATGTGTACTGACTTTTTCGATCGCGCATCGTTGTATGTACTTATCGGGATGAAAGTGTCAAATAGGTACGAAAATGAGGATGGAAATCGGTTTCCAAGTAAATACACTGTTGGGACAGTTCGTGCTTCCATGGAGGGATACGTCAAAATAGAACTGGTTATTTGCCCATTAGGGTGAAATTATTCACCATTGTTACCTTCTTGTAAATATGAAGCTACCTCACACAAATCTGTCGACTGTTTTTTTATCCAGTTAGCATTTATTCATGCGATTACTTTCATGACAATAAATTATAGATTACGTAAACGATTGTTCAAAGAGTCAAAGGCGGTATCATGTGACTTCATTCCATTGAGTGAGTATCGTTTTACGCCGCTTTCAGCAATATTCCAGCAACATCACCAGACATGGGCTTCACACATTCCTTTGGCCAGAGATCATTCTCATTACGGCTCCTTCTCTCTGGAACTGTCTTCCTTTTGATATCAAACCCTCCCCATCTTTAGCTGTCTTCAAGTCCAAACTTAAAACCCATCTCTTCTCCAAGTTCTATCCTTGATACCTGCGCTTTGAGCAACCGCAACGGATGGAAAATAGCGCAATATAAATGCACTTATTATTATTATTATTATTATTATTACCCATGTGGGGAATCGAACAGGGGTCTTCGGCATGACGAGCGGACGCTTTAACCACTAGGCTACCCTACCACCCCTCCATTAACTGAACTAGCTGATCCTTCAATAAAGAAAGGGAAGCTCATAAATTTTCTACAATATATTTATCCCCGATGAATTTCGTTTCAGTTAACGACTTTAGACTCGGAGGACCGATGGCCGAATTGCATGCATACTATAATATCAAGTTTTCTTTTACAATGATATTTGACACTTTAGTACTGTAATCATCATGATGGACATTTGAAGGTAACGTATGGCATAACATTGTCGCTCGTTAAAACCCCGTGACAAAAAACAATTTACTCGGATAGATAATCCGTTATTCATTGAAGGTTATTCTATTACTGTTGCATAACTGCTATCGATTATGTGTGTTAGGCAATGCCACGTTATGCTCGTGGGTATCGGAGTCGGTGGTGAGACGGCTCAAGTTATTGGTTTCCACAAAGCTTGTTAATGTCAGTATGGATTATAGGGAGGAATTATATTGTCCGTTGCCCGATACACATGACAGTAGCACTTACACCAGTTGTGTGGACAATTAGGGCTTCACTATGACATCGATCCCTTAGGTTGGCAAATATACAGCCATTGTCAAACACCCTTTGCTAAAAAGGCGTTGTCTGCGATTGACATTCATGAAGATGCTAGGTCCAGACAAGAATACTCAGGTCGAGGATATGTGACATGTATCCCCCATCCTCCAAAGAAAACCCCCAACAAAACACAAAAAAAACACAAAACAAAACCAACAAGAGTCATCAGAAGATGACATATCCCCCCCGGCCCCCACATCTTTGAAAGAACAAATCATCTGATAGTTACTTAAAGTCCAGCTTGATTTTAGACTAAGTGCAAATCGTTTCCATGGAAATCATGAAAAAATAAATGATAAAAATCTGCAAATAGCAAAAGGCACCACTTTGGGATCTGCGTCACATATCTGCCAAGTTTTGCTGAAAGATATTAAGAAGTTTTCGCGTTGTGCTCCGGAAACAAAACCTACCCCTCCCTTTTGAGACTAAGTCCGAATTGTTTCCATGGAAACTGAGAAAATAATAAATCACAAAAATCTGCAAATAGCAAAGGCACCACTTTGGGATCTGCCTCACATATCTGCCAAGTTTTGCTGAAAGATATTGAGAAGTTTTCGAGTTGTGCTCCGGAAACGAAACCCACCCCTCCTTTTGGGACTAAGTCCGAATCGTTTCCATGGAAACCAAGAAAAATAAAAATGACAAAAATCTGCAAATAGCAAAAGGAACCACTTAAGGTTCTGTTTGATATATCTACCAAGTTTTGTTGAAATATATTGAACGGTTCTTGAGTTGTGCTCCGGAAACGAAGCCCACCCCTCACTTTTGGGACTAAGTCCGAATCGTTTCCATGGAAACCGGGAACCGATCACCGCAAACGCAGGCGGACAGTCACTCTGCAGGACAGTGGTTCCAGGGGGTGAAATCTGATACTGGTTTTCTCAAAAATGACCAACCTGGTCACAAACTGTCCGCCCAATCCAAGAGACTTAAACTCATCTCGATGCCACCTGAATCACACAACACATGTACAAGACCTCAGACCTTGGTAATCATTGCATTGTCCTAAATGAGTGTGTCAGTTTAGTTTTACGCCTCTTTTAGCAATATTCCAGCAATATCACGGCGGGGGACACCAGAAATGGGCTTCAAACATTCTACCCATGTGGGAATCGAACCTGGGTCTTCAGCATGACGAGCGAACGAACGCTTTTAACCTCTAGGCTACCCTACCTTCCCCTTTGTCCTAAATACACCAACGCCATTGAAAACCAGCATCAGTCGCTGGTGGGGAAGTCACACAACGACGACATAG